TATACATATATATAAACACACATGCACACATACATAAAACACACACAGATACAGACACAGAGACACACACCCACAAACATACACGCACGCACACGCACACGCACACACACATACACACACATTATATACATATATATATATGTCAAATGGGAGTTTGATTTCATTAAGTCGAAATGTACCTTTGGATTCTGAGTTTTGCCGTTGCAGATCCTCAGCTGTAGGTGCGTCGGATGATATTGACCCGTTCCCGCTTGCGTCGCTGCCATGACTAGACATAATGCAAACACCGGCGAAAACCCAGTCTCTGAAAGCAGGGTCTATAGTCTATAGTTCAAATTAACTATGTACCGAGCTTTTAATATAAATAAACTATACTACCTTGTCCTTCTTTTAATATCTTGATGTGGCTTGAGCCCCCGAGGAATGAGGAACAGAGAGGTTTGCTTTTTTTAATACGCGACGCATTAGCGACTTATTTATTATTTATAGGATCATATACGATTACATACGCTCTCAATATGGCAACCGCTTGAGTCATCAATTTCATTTAAAGTTTTATTAGAGTTTTTTAAGGTGCAATGCATCGCCTCTCCTAAATTCAGCAGCATATGCCATAGCACCTCTTTTAGCCTCGTAAGCTAGAACACTCCTTAGTTATATTTTAGGTGGCTTTGCATATGCAAATGTAGCCTCCTAAATAATAACAAAGAGGCTATGGTATACATATGTCGCATCTTTCTAAATTCGACACGTGTATGTTATAATGGCAAGTTGGCTATGCGTATATTTTAGCCCCCTGAGAAAAAGAAGAATCAGCAGGGGGTATTCGGGGGAAGAAGGGGGACAGACCCTGAACGAGCCATAGAATGATCACCGAATAGATGGTTGTGGACGCGTAGTGCACGGAAACTCACATGAACAAGTTTTCGTACCAGTTGAAAGTCATGTTCGTGCTAAGACTCAAGCACCATGACAAAACTTGACATTTGTATATTTATCATCATGAAGCGCGCGACATCAACCTCGGGAGAAACTTAAAGGCCATTTATTCTGTATATTTGCATATTCGAACTTTCAGCACAACTTCATGCGACCTGAAAGGATAGATATAAACACAACATACTGCATAGACGTATATACAAGCACATTGTCCGCAGGCATAGCACGAAGAATAAACTAAGTCATATATATGTA